CGGTAACCAAAATTCGTAGGGTGTATCGGAAACATGGCAGTCTTGCATAGCAATGAAAATTTGGCTCAGCTTAGTAATCCAAACGCGGTATGCAGTATCTGCAATGAGGAGATCACAGAAATAGAGCTGTCGGTAACACCTTGCGAACATAATTTTCATCGGGTTTGCATAACTAGATGGCCTACTGACCATGATGCTTGTCCCTTGTGTCGGCGTTCATGTGACACACACTCACTAAAGAGCTTTACTGAACAAGATCCAACCAGTCAAAATGATATTTTTGCAGAACAGGAAGCTATTCCAAAAAACGATGGCGGGGGTCGCATGACCAGGTCAAGAGCGGGCAATAATATATCTTTCGATTCGACTTATAATGCTAATCGTGGCCGAGGCCGCGGTTCAAATCCTAATCGTACGCCACGAAATAATCAAAGTAATGTGAATCATAGTTTTATTCAAAATGCTATACAAGACAGTATGAGGTCGTATGAAGACCGGTTCTCCAGACAGGTACGTGAGGAAGTAGGACGTATGGTGTCAGAATCGCTTGATTCATATTTTCGTAATTTGAATGTATCTGAGCACAGAACACAAAATCATTCACCCAACGCTAACGCAGGAGGTGGAAATAATGAGCAAGGTACGTCACGTAATAGTAGGCGGTTAACCGGCGATAACCATGACATGTCTTCTACTGTGGTTGCAAAAGTTATCTCCGGGTGGAAATTAGTGTTCGATGGCTCCTTGAATGGCATATCAGTCGATGAATTTATATACAGAGTGAACGCTCTTACCAACACAACACTACGAGGTGACTACTTTACATTATGTCAACACGTTCATCTGCTTTTTGAAGGAAAAGCTAAGCGGTGGTTTTGGCGTTATCATCACTCCGTTCGTAATTTAGATTGGGTAGATATTTGCGATTGCTTGCGAAGCAATTTTAAGGACTTTCGGTCAGACTTCGACATAAAGAAATCGATACGAAACCTTAAACAAAAAGCTAGTGAATCTTTTGAGAGCTATTTAGATAGCGTGCTTAATATATCAGACAGCTTAAGGATCCCTTTGTCTGAAAGAGAACTAGTAGAAATAGTACTCAGAAATCTTCAGCTAGAGGTTCGGTTGGAGCTTCTTCATTTAGATTTAAATAGCATTTCAGACCTTCGCAAGGCTTGTAGACGCAGAGAAAATTTAGTTGCGGAAATTCAGCACCGGGGAAATGTACTAAAGTCTGTTGTACCGCAACGCAGGAATAT